ACGAATCTGAGTGTTTTCAATGATTTGATTTTAAACACAGATTTTAAAATAATTTATTTGTTTTCACCGTGATGGCTCCACCGTAAGAGCCGTTCCTCCGGCGACCGGCATGTGAAAATTTGGCCTAAAATAGCGGCAACGTCGCACAGGTTAATGCCATCCGTGGCTAACGTCATGTTGGTTACGTGTCATCATATGTTTGTGCCATCTGTCAAAATTCCTCCGCAGCATCAAATAGTACCATCATTTTATTTCAATATTTTAAAATTTACTGGATAATCCGCAAATTTTTTTGGCTTAAATTACCTACTAAAACACGTACTTTTCAGGACAATTTTTGTTTTTTTAAAATTCTTATGTCCGTAAAGTCGAACGGACCCGATATTTCGAAAAAAAAACAAATTTTGGCTATTTTAAAAACTGGCCCTAATTCCATTATAATCTATTTTAGACAAAATGTTTTCAGATAAAAGTTGTAGATAATTACATCCCTAATGAGTTTGTGTTCTCCGATTTTTTCTAAAGCCTGTCATTTTTGACATACGACACAAACATATGTTTTTTTAAATGGAAACTATAGTTGGCTATGACTAATAAAAAGCGCCGAAACAATACTGAATTAGAGCCAATTCTTTTAATTTTTGAACAATTTCACTTAGTTAGCCATGGAAACAAGTTGCAATCCGTTCGCTACTACTTCGTCCAGTATTGCCTCTTCTAAAGCTGTTTGCTGGGTTGCCGGTAGTCAGTGCAGCCTCTGGACAGCACCGCTATTTTCACTTGTCCAGCAATAGCGGCAAAGCTGATGATATACGTCCCTGCTTGCCTCTCGGTGTTGGACGGCTGTCCATCCTGGTTTTTCTCTCCTTGCCGGAGCAGAGGTGAGAATTTCTCGCTCCCTCTCTTGCCCTTTGGTGGAGATGCGCCAGGCTGTTTCTTGACTCCTTTACTCTCCCCTTTTTCGAGGAGTGCTTTCGCTTTTGCTTCCTCTTCCGTACTTCTGCGCAGCTAGGACCTCCTCTCAGCGAATCGTCTAGCCCTCTGGTTAACCCAGGATCGGGTAGACAAAACGGTAGCTTATGTCGCTTGTTAGGTCTATAGAGATATGCTCCTGACCCTTGCTAGACGAGGTGGTAGCTTGTGTGCCACTTGTAGATGCTGGTCTCACGCAAGTGTCAGTCGCCTTTTCTGCAGTTCCCTTGAAACTTTCATTGATAATGTTCCCACTGTTCCCGGTATTGCTATATAAAGGCTCAGAGCCCTCAGAGGTTTGTTTTGTTTTCTCTTCCAGTTGTGAAAAAAACCCAGGCCAAGATCAAATTGCGAATGAACTGCGATCGGAATGTGAATTATTTATCTTCACTTATCATTTATGATCGTTGCTATCAGAAATGCCAAACTGTCACATACAAACTTTGTAAATTAAAATAACCAAAAATTGTAAATATGAATTTTTCAAATGAAGAAAAGCGTGTAGGATTACTAGTTCAACTGTTCTTGGTCATACATTTTCGAGGATACGTTACATACGCTTTTTAGAGAACGGTTTTCAAGACATGTTAGAAAAGTTAAATTTAGAGACTCGCGCTTCTATAGAGTGGTTCCAACATAACTTTCATTATGACACGCCCCATAATGAAAAAAATGTTAAAATTTATTTTTATGATACTTATTTAAACGATCTCCTCTCAAATGGGCTCGGACTCAATTGCATCTATCTATTTTAGATTTATATATCTATTTTAGACTATATTTTTCTATCTATTTTAGACCTATCTATTTTAGATTTTTTATGCAGTATATTTTTTGAATATTTTCTAAAATAACTTAAACTGTATGTAGTGATATTATTTTTTAAGTTTAAGTTTGTGTAATGTAAATTGTAAAGAACTGTTTAATAAAATATTCTGTGTTTTTATAAGTCATAAATTATAATAATTAAATAAATAACAAAATAGAATATCATACCAACTAAGTGAAATTAACCAAGAAAGATAAGAATTGGCATAACTCAGTAATTTTTATCGATGAAAAGCTTAAAAAATGGCGCTTTTTATGAAGGCATGGCCAACTCTGGTTTCCATTTAAAAAACACAAGTTTGTGTCATATATGTCAAAAATGACGGGCTTTAGAGAGAAACGGGGAACGCAGTCTCATTAAGGATGTGATTATCAACAACTTTTATCTGAAAACTTTTTGTCTGAAATAGATTATAATGGAAATAGAGACCATTTTTAAAATAGCCGAAATTTGTTTTTTTCGAAATATCTAGTAAGCCATGAACTTTTTCAAAAATCTGAAAGGCTCATATTTATGACCCCTCAAAAATGCAATTCTTTCCCCTTTTAACTGTGTTTCTATCTCCAGTACTTCCCGAGATGCCCATAGGGAAGATTGTGGAAAACTCACCCTGTATGCGTATTTTGGCTCCTATAATTACCTGACACCTGACTGGTAATCATCTATTTATAGTGTTGGACATATTCGTTAGTGCATGGTATTTTGAGGAAATTTTGTTGCCTCTTCCTATATTTCAAGGAAATAGGCATAACGTTGGTTTACTTATCGATGGTTTTGAAATATATAGTTACATGTGTGTACTGTGTACTTGTGAAACACTGATGACACACATCACAAGTACAGGGTGGGTCAAATTCGACGCTTTTAAATGGAAACAACCTTTTCTATAGGAGATAGACAAAAACTAATATCGGTGTCTGGAGCTCAATTTTTGTCAAAAACATGATGGTGAAAACCGCATATCGATATCTGTTACCGTTTCGGAGTTACGGGGTGTTTTTCAAAAATATGCATTTTTAACAAATCGCTGTAACTTTTTTGCTATGGAAAATTTTATATTTTTATGCAAACATTTCCAAAGCACCTTTTTACGTAGAATTTAATGGTTTTAAGTATAATTTTTTTAAAATTAATAATTTAAGAATTATCAACAGAAAATTTGATTTTTATATGGGACACCCTGTATTTTTAATTAGCTGAAAAGAATTTTAAATTACCTTTCCAAAAATATAGCACACTTGATATTTTGTTATAATCCCCTTCGAAATACAGATTTTTTAAAAGTTCGCCACTTTTAACTAGTAGGCTTTGGACCCCTCATTGATGATATGCCCTTAAGGGAACTCGAAAACATATTTTTCCTGCAAGACGACGCACCGCCTCTGAACGCTGAAGTTAACAGCAAATTTCTGCAGCCAATTTCAAGAATAATTGAATAGCAGACCAAGAACCCAAGCCGTTGGCCGTCGAGGCCGCCTGACTTAGTGCCCATGGATCTAATCCTATGGATATATTTGCGGAAGAATAAAGGTTCCTTATTCTTCTGTATAATCTAGACAAGAATTAGAAATATTTAGCAGTTATGAGAGGGTATCTTTCACCCCCACTGAGTTAATGAATTCCGCAAGAAATGTTCAAAAACTGCCCCATCTGTACATAACAGAAGACGGTCGATATGTCAAACACCTGTAGCAAAATCTCATGTCCTGGTTTGCTATTTATTTTTATTGTTATGAGATATAGTTTAAATGTGTTGATGTTGGTTAAATATATTTTAAATTGTTATAAAATTCTGCATCTCTCATAGCAAATATTATTTTCGTTTTAATTGATGCTCATAGCTAGAATTTTTTTGCATTACAGCCGGTGCCGTTCAAAGCCTACTTAAAGCGGGCGAATTTTTATATACTCTATATCTTGAAGAGGAATCGAGCAAAATATCAAGTGTTATATTTTTGGAAAGGTAATTTTAAATTCTTTTCAATAAATTAAAAATATACAGGGTGTCCCATATAAAAAATCAATTTTTCTGTTGATAACTCTTAAATTATTAATTTAAAAAAAAATATATTTAAACCATGAAATTCTACGTAAAAAGCTGCTTTGGAAATGTTTTCATAGAAATACAAAATTTTCCATAGCAAAAAAGTTACAGCGATTTGTTAAAAATGCACATTTTTGAAAAACACCCCGTAACTCCGAAACGGTAACAGATATTGATGTGAGGTTTTCACCATCATGTTTTTGATGAAAATTGAGCTCCAGACACCGATATTAGTTTTTGTCTATCTCCTATAGAAAAGGGTGTTTCCATTTAAAAGCGTCGAATTTGACCCACCCTGTTGAATAAATATACAGGGTGTTCCATTTAAATTAAACAAGTTATTGCCGTTTAAAGCTAATAATTATTTGAAATAAATATTTAGACACTCAGTATAAGGTAGTATAATTTTTAGTATTGCAACACAATAACTGATCAATAGATAAACTTCAGTAAATATTTAGTATTAAAAACTTTGATACCCTCGGAGAAATGAAGCCTTAAAATTTATACTGCAATTTCACAAAATTGAAAATATTTCAAAAACGGTTAGGTTTAAGTGTAATAAACCTTAATCAAATTTACCTTTATTTTAATCGTAGAAACTAAAAATGCAATAATATATAAGGCGTTCCTTTTAAAAAAATACAACTTTGTTATTTTTTATTTATTTGGGACACTCTGTATCTTGTAAAAATATTTTTAAATTGTCGCTCTAATAGTCTTTCAACGAACCCAAAACTTGCAATTTGTAAAAATCTAATCGTTTAGCTACAGTACTCCGTGTCGTATGTGGTGAACAACCCTGTATATACAGGGTAAGTCTTAAATAAATGCGAATATTTTAGGGGTAGTATACCTCGAGCTCAGAAACACGTCTATGAAGCTTTTTTCGCAAAGGAAAATGTAAAATTTTGTTTTCAAACATTGTTTCGAACAATGTTGTAACACAATTATTGTTTTTTTTTAATTTTCAAAGTAAAATAACTCAGTTATTTTGGACTTTAAAACGATGAAGAGAAAATATGTTTAATATCTACAGATTGTTTTCTTTTTTTTTTAGCAGGCTATATGCGATTCTTTAATTATATATGCCTTTTTTTTCAATTTTTTTATAATATATTAATTATAACTAATAAGTTGTTGTTTTATTTACAGAGACACATTTACAAAAGAGTTAAAGGATATGTTCAGTACTCTACCACCAGATGAGCTCACCGAAAAATTACCACGCCTTATGAGACATTGGATTAATAATTGTGAAACCGGTAAGGAACTACATTTCTATAATTGTACAGGGTGTCCCACTAAGAATAGCTCTCGGCTGTATCTCGGAAAGTATTAGCCGTAGGGGCTGCGGAAAAAAATACTTATAACTAAAGAGGCTATGGGAAATTGCTGGAAATTATTTTCAAGTTTGTAGAACGACCGCTAGGGAGCGCAACTGCAACAAAAAGTAAGAAAATAGAGTTTTTACACAATTTTGCCTGATGGATAAGGTGTACTATAAGTAACAGCTTCATAATCTTCAGTAAATTTTGAATACTTTTTGTTAGAGCCATAGACTTAAAATAAAATATAGACTGAGCATCTCATTCATAAATAGCTGGAACATGCGGTCAGACAATGTCTTGTTATTGTTGTGTTATTGTTTTAGGTTATAACGAGTGCGACACGAGCGATAGATAGGTTGTCTCTGTCGTAACGGTCGTTCCCTGACGACTCTGCCGAGAACCACAACACTGTCTTTCGTTTCTCAAGTACACCTGAACTCTCCGTATTATAGCCGGGTAATTTTTTTATTTTAATGAAGCTATAATTAAATTAAAAATATATCGTATTTAAACTTTTTTATATTTTATTAAGATTTAGGACAGGTTTTTTAAATAAAAGTTTAGAAAAAACAATTTAGAGTCCAAAAAGGATAAAAATAATAAAATACACGTTATAGAAGAAATTTTATAATCGAAATTAGGTAATTTTTGAAATTAATAATAAATTATTAATTTTAGTCAAACATTTACAACCCCTAATATTAATCAAAACAGGATCTATTTCACAGATAAAATAGAATCGGCGACAGGGAGAGAAAAAAAAATATGATTGTTGTAATTTTTTTTCTGGTTAAGTGATGTCTTATTATGTAAATTAGAGAAAACATAAATCTGTTCCATTAAAGCAAGGAAGGTGATAGGAAGTGGATAAAATAAAAACTACATTTATTTAACTCGGTACTGTCTTTATTATACCGGGTGCGTCTCAAAAGTGGCTCATCCCCCATAATTTTTTTATATTTTCAAATAAAAAAACAAGATTTAGTATGTTAGTATATGAAATAAATTAGGATTGATTGACGCATTCAATTATTTTTGGTCACTTCCTGTTTCACCGGAAATTACTATAAGTTTTAATTTTTAAACGGCACCCTCGGTATATTTCTACTTTATTCGATAGAAAATGACACTCTGAATAGAATGACATATCATATGTCAACTTTTGACATTTTCGCATATGGTTTAATTGTTATTGTAACACGCGGTTCATAACGACAATTTGACTCGAAATACCAAGTGTGTGGTATCAATATATTCATAAAAAAATGCTTTTTCCAAATATGCTAATGAGTCACCCTTTGTTCCATTTGAAAAAATTGACATATGTATGATTAAAAATACGATTTGTACATCTTTTAACCGGCCTAGACAAGACACGAAACCTATTAGACGATCAAAACTATTTTTCCAAGGCTCCTGGATTAAAACTTAGTGGATTGAAAAAAACTGGATTGAAATTTAAAATAGGATATGTTTTTAAGCGACAATGTCAAAAGTTGACATATGATATGTCATTCTATTCAGAGTGTCATTTTTTATCGAATAAAGTAGCAATATACCGCGGGTGCCTTTAAAAATCAAAAGATGTAATCATTTCGGTGAAACAGGAAGAGACCAAAAACAATTGAATACGTCAATAAATCCTAATGTATGTCATATACCTACTAACATACAAATCTGTTTTTTATCTGAAAAAATAAAAAAGTTATAGGGTTGAGCCATTTTGAGACGACCCGGTATATTAAAAAATATTGTTTCATAATGTAATATCATTTTAAAATTCTTGTATGTTATTTTAGATTCTGAAGATAATTTTAGAATAAACCGGAATATATTTTTAATAAAAACATTATTAATTATTAACAGGGTTATAATTATGATTTTGTTACAATGTAAGTAAGTAAATAATGTAATGTAAGAGAAAAAATTCAGATTTTACATTTTACTAAAATATTATCTAAATAAGCGCCTTTCTACAACAACGCCACTGACTCCCAATGGGTAAATTGAGAGTTGCCTACCGGTCAAAAGTCGTTTCAAGACTTAAATGGATTATTTAAGTCAAATTTCTTGCAAATTTGGCACTGGCGAACCATATTTTATAGTTCTTGAACAGAAAAAGTCAATAAAATAAACACTTAAGCACTACAAGCTAAGAAAATGCGTTAATACAGCCGGGGAGATAGCGGCAACAAAGCTTTACCGCACACGTGCGACACGTACTACAAGGTAATAAATGAATGAATAGGCTCCCTCGCCTCTAATCGGTGTTGTCATATTGTAAAGAACTTATCCTTTTTAAACAGTATCCGACTTATAATTTAGTAGTATAAGGACTATTTAATACATCTCTGGAATATTAAAACCTACTTTATTAAACTGTAGTATTAATATCTCAATATATGTGTATAACAAGAAAAAAAAATATTGATAATATTAAAGACGTGACAACATAGGCTGGATGAGGAAGGCTCGGTCGACTGTACCCAGAAGTAAACATGTGTACAAAAAAGGTTGTTTGTCCGCGTTGAGATGTAAATAGTGTAGTCTATATTTTATTTTAAGTCTATGGTTAGAGCCATTTTCCCCTATCTACCAAAATAAAGTGGTGGGGAAGGTTAGATCTGTTTTTATTTGAATATTAATAACTCTGGACTGGATGATCGGAATCCAACAAGCGAGGGCTCGTTTAAAAGAGCGTTTCTTACTCTATATTGTACCATATAAACCATAATAATAAGCTTTTGAACGTAGACGTTAGGGGGCGTTGTCTTACAATTTAACAAACATTGCGCGTTTTTTCAAAAAAATTAAATGCAATAGTATATGTAATTTTAGCTGATAGTAAAGAGTAGTAAACGCTTAAAAAGTCAGCGAAAACCGCATCTTGATACCTTCTTTCAAACCGAAGATATTAGCAAAATTATAATAAATACCAAAAAATAAGCCCTTAATTACCTTATTTTTACAACACGGTATCAGTAGCCCTCTTGATTATGCCCATTCTAACCTAAAAATAAGATAGAAACAGTTAGTTTATTTCAAAATCGACGATATACCAGAATATCATTTTACCAGATGTATTAATATCTAATAATTAAGATATTAATAATAGTGAACAAGAAACGATGATTCAGTGAAGTCATGGTAGGCTTTGGAAAAAAGTTGCTTTTGACGTAATAGTATAAACGTCAAATTGTTATTAGATCAACATTTTGATAGTCAACAACTTCAACTACTTCAAATAATAAAGGCATTTTGAAAAAGCATTTAAAAGATAAAAAAACGCTGCTATAAGACTATCAAAATGTTGATCTAATAACAATTTGACGTTTATACTATTATGCGAAAAGCAACTTTTTTCCAAAGCCTACCATGACTTCACTGAATCATCGTTTCTTGTTCACTATTATTAATATCTTAATTATTAGATATTAATACATCTGGTAAAATGATATTCTGGTATATCGTCGATTTTGAAATAAACTAACTGTTTCTATCTTATTTTTAGGTTAGAATGGGCATAATCAAGAGGGCTACTGATACCGTGTTGTAAAAATAAGGTAATTAAGGGCTTATTTTTTGGTATTTATTATAATTTTGCTAATATCTTCGGTTTGAAAGAAGATATCAAGATGCGGTTTTCGCTGACTTTTTAAGCTTTTACTACTCTTTACTATCAGCTAAAATAACAGATACCTACTGTCGTATAGTCTGTCCAACGAGAAGATCCTTGACAGTGATAGAATGTGTCTGTCATTTTAATTTCAAAGTAGTTTATTTTATTTTACAAAGAAATAAGTTGGTACAACTGGAACGCATAGCAGGAAATTATTATATTTAAAATTTAACTGACAAGTAATTACTTCAAAATATTGTGAAAAAAACTGTATAAAACTGAAAAAATGTAATCGAGTTATTTAATATAATAAAAAACGGTATGTCTTAATACAAAACAAACAAGAACAAGACACCACATACCAAAAAAATATAAAAAAGAACTATTTCTTACTTTCAAGCTTTTTGAAACTTCCCGCATTTATGATTATATTTATCAATATAACTTATGTACAAATACAAATTTGTAATATTCCGCAGGAATAAATAAAACAACATAAATAAAACAAACTATTTTATTATTAATAACACTTACCAAATTTACTATTTATTACCTTAAAGGTTGCTAATTAACTTTAATCTTAATTTTTTAAACCAGTACCTTTGGCATTATTTTTCTTGTGCAGTACTAAAATCCATTATTTACGTATCGTGTGATGTCGATATATTTTACAGCTACTCCAGTTTTTAGTATGTGTTTAGTATGGTCCTTTTACCATATTCGAGATGCACTTATCTACGACGAGATGGTATACGAACTTTAATGATGGTAACTTTATTGGTGTATAAGATATTTTGCCTGGGCAGCGAGTATTAACCATAAACTGTGCTCGGGGTCTACAGTTAATTTTCACTCGATTTTTCCTCCACTTGACTTCAAAAGACACAAAACACACGTAATAACACGATTCAAAATGCATCATCTTCCAAAACGCAGGGTATTTGACAAAACTGACAAAAGTTGACACAAAATTATAACCTCTAATTTGGCAAGACTTTGACAAGCGTCAAAAATCTAAAGGCGAGTTCATACGCATCGGCGTCCGCTTGTCGTTCGTCGTTCCGTCAAACCAATAAAATTGAAATACGATCTGTCATTTTTGAAATAAACCAATAAAACTGGTTAAAAACAACAAGAGACGACATATGACGGATTTATATTTAAACCCATCCATAGTTAACTTAAAAATTATTAGAAACTTTTTTTAGTAAAATAAATAGATTGGTATGGGACGTCATCTGCTTTTCTTATGTCATCATCTGTCGAAATCTTACCTGAGAAAAAAAAACAGAGTATATTTAATTTTTTTGAAAAA